ACTTTTGACACAGCTCGCACCTTCGGACATAGTCTGCGACTTCTTTTTTCATGGTAGGCCAGTAGTAACCGGTGCAGATGAGACATCGAACGAGGGCACGATTTCCCGTGTTGGCACTGCAGTGCCCTTTGTAGACATGTGATTTTTGACCCTCCCCAATATTTTTCACATTTTAGCGTAAAATATTAAATTTAGGCCTAATATAGCTATTTCAACTATTTTTTTGATTTCTTTCCTTTATTTTCGTCATAAAAAATGGAAAATATACAAAAAAATAGCTTATTTTTATCTTTACATAATCTTGAAAATACAAAAAAAAGTATATAATAGTTTCATGTTAGCCTTTGCATTGTGTAATATTTTTATCTTATTTTAAAAGAAGTCAATTAAGGTGTTGGATCATAATTTTAAGAGTTTTAGAACCCAATTCTTGGCCTAATTCGGATTAGTCCATTAAGCCTAGGGACCCTTCTAGACTCTTCTTTGGAACAAAAAATAAATAAAGAAGACCCTAAGGACTTAACACAAAAGACCTAGGGACTAATGGAAAAAATACACAAAAATACACCTAAATCTAGACTTTACCTATAAGTTAATGTTTAAAAAAATAAAAAAGGGGGATATACACTGAAAAAGCTCTGAGCGCCGCAGAACAATACAGACACCCCCTCCCTGCGTCATCTTCTCCGAACCCCCTCCCCACCATGGACTGATCTTCCTCAGTCGCTGGACACCAGAAAACGACCCCCTCCCTGGAACTCCCAGTTGGTTTCTGTACAAACAACCCCTCCGATTTTTCTGCCTCACCATCTCTATCGTCTCCCAGCACACCCATCAAAACCAGACCTAACGCCTAAGATAATTTCTGGCGCCGACTGAAGTTCCGTCCATTCGAGGTTGCGAATCCGGTTCGAGTTTTGTCGTTTGGCACTTCATTATGACTGTGTAATTGCTGAAATTTCAGTTGAATGAAGCTTTAGCTTCATCGCCATTAATCTCGATTAGCGTCATTTGAACTGATGACTGAATAGTTCGCGTCTTTTCTGCCACTACTTCTTCTTCACCGATCGAAATTCTAGCAAGCTCGAAATCCAAGCATCTCAGGTCTTTCTTTTCTCTCTCGTATTTCAATATACTCGCTGGTACTTCTTCCTTTCTCCCCGTTGCCGGATTTCTGCAACATTTTTATTCTTGTTGGGTTAATCTCTTGTCGAGATTTTTGTTGTTTTTGAGAGTGTAACTGCTAATGGCTATTGTTGGGTGATTATTGAATCCCAATTCGATGGTTAAGTTTTGGCTAAGGTATAGCTTTATGGGGGCTTAGAGAAACGAAGCTTCAGTTATGCACATAAGGTGCTTGTGGAAACGATTGACCGAATTCAATCAACATGGATTCTTTGAGTTTGATTTTTGCGTAATATGTGGTGTTTTGAAGCTTAATTCTTGTTGATCTCTCACTGTTAAGGTACTGCAATTGAGGTCAAGCTTTGAATTTGTATTGATCCCTGTTTAATCTATGTCAAATTGTGTGCAAAGTTGAGCATTTGGGTCAGATTGAATGAGCTAATTATGTGTCTGATGACATGTGATTGCTATGCACTCATTTGTCGGAAAAAGATTGAAACCTATAATCGTTGCTTTCGTTTACTTGATTTGCTTTCATGTTGTGGCTATTATTTTTGTAATATTGAAGCATATTTTAATGTTGTCGACAATCAGTGTGGATTTGAAGTTCGATTGTATTGTTTTGAGCAATTGATTCGTTGGGGTTGAGTTAAGGTAGTCATGGGCCGACTTTATCAATTTCATTTGAATAAGTTGCATAAATCATATGTCCTTCCACATTGTTTTCCACAAAGACCTTTGCATTGAACCTCAAAGTAGCGTAGGCTTAATCATAAACATCGTAGTTCTTTAGGTTGAGGCGTGTCATGCCAAACAAAATCTCAAAACCCATGGCCCTCCATTAATTATTTTAACTCCTTAGAAATCGAGGCATGCCATTTAGTTGAATTTTCCATGGCCCTCGCAAAGTTGAAAGGCGTAGTCGCTTTAGACGCGTTATTTTAATAATTTACCTTCCTAAACTCGGGTGCGCATTTATGTGACCCAAATCCAAAACTCAACAATGTTGGATAAAATATGTCTAAGACCGCGAGTACATTTATGTGACGTGGTTCAAGGCGTGTTTTAATAACGTTGCAATCTTCTTAAAAATGAATAAAAGCGGTTATAAAGTTAAAATTGAACTATAGGCTAAAACATGTATTAGAATCAGATAATTTGCCAAATATAGCAGTTGTGCGATCGTACTAGAACCACGGAACTCGGGAATGCCTAACACCTTCTCCCGGGTTAACAGAATTCCTTACCCAGATTTCTGGTTCGCGGACTGTAATACAGAGTCAATCTTTTCATCGATTCGGGATTTGAACTGGTGACTTGGGACACCATAAATTATCCCAAGTGGCGACTCTGATTTTAAATAAAATAATCTCGTTTTGGTTGTCACTTTAAGTTGGAAAAACTCCCTTATACACTCCCTTCCCGGGGGTGTAGGTGAAAAAGGAGGTGTGACACCCTTCGTGTACTTCTTCCAGTGCTCGTCTTGTTTGATGTGGTCCAAGACTTTTGGCTAGGGGGCTGTCGAACGTTCTTTTGTAGAGATCATGGTTTACTAGGTTGTATCAGGCTGCCTGTACCCAGAGTTTTTTGGCTTCTTTTTTGTTTCGCCGGAGCAATCCATCCTATAAATAGGCTACGAAACAGTTACGCCAGTCCCAAGTTAGGCTTATAGAATGTACCTCGACGTGGTCTATTGCAGAGTGAAGAAAGGTGACCATGTTTTCTTTGTTGATATTCCTGGTGGCCGCAGCTAGTTTGGCGAGGCAATTTGCTTCAATATTCTATGCCCTAGGTATCTGGTCGAGGCGACATTCATCGAACTCTTGCAGCAATTTGTGGATTTCCGACAGGTACCTTTGTAGCATCTACTCTTTGATTTGGAAAGTCCCGGTGACTTGATTCATAACGAGTTGAGAGTCACATTGGAGGATGAGTCGTCGGGCGCCATATTTGAGGGCTAACTTCAAACCTGCAATCACAACCTCATATTCGGCCTCGTTGTTAGTCATCTTGGGGCATCGTATGGACTGGCAAATTACTTCGCCTGTAGGGACCTCGAGTACGAGTCCCAGTCCTAATCCCGAGGCATTCGAGGCACCAACGGTGTAGAGGACCCAGAGGTCAGTACGTGTGGAAGCGTAAAGTGCTTCTTGTTCTACCTCGGGCAATATCTCCGCGCTGAAATTAGCGACTAAGTCGGCGAGCACCTGCGACTTAATGGCAGTTCACGGTTGGTATGTTATGTCGTGCTCGGTTAACTCTATGGCCCATTTGGCAAGTCTACCTGAGAGTTCAGGTTTGTGCAGGATACCTCTTAGGGGGAAGGTTGTTGCCACTTTTATGGGGTGACATTGAAAATATGGTCTAAAATTGCGTGAAGCTACGACCAGTGCTAGAGCTAGCTTTTCAAGGCGAGGGTATCTTGTTTCGGCATCTAATAAAGTTTTGTTGATATAGTAAATTGGAGACTGCGTACCTTCATTTTCGCGGACCAAGACTACACTTACTATGACTTCAGAAACTCCCAAATACACAAGCAGACACTCACCCGGATCCGCTTTGACGAGTAGTGGCAGTGAAGACAGATATGATTTTAGCTTTCTTAGGGCATCGACACATTACTCGCTCCATTGAAACCCGTGGTCTTTTCTGAGCACATTGAAGAATTTGTGGCATCTGTCCAAGGATCATGAAATGAACCTTGACAAGGTGGCTATTTGCCCTGTTAGCTTTTGTACCTGTTTTTTGCTAGTCAGTACCTCTGGTATTGTATCTATGGCCTTGATTTGATCCGGGTTGACTTCGATTCCCATTTGTGATACGAGGAAGCCGAGGAATTTTCCTGAGGTTACGCCGAAGGCGCACTTCTCAAGATTTAACTTCATCCTGTACTGCCTTAATATTTCGAAGGCCTCTTTCAGATGGCTAATGTGATCCTCCTTTTTTGTTGACTTTACTAGCATGCCATCGATATATACCTCCATGGTTTTGCCGAGTTGCTCTTTGAACATTTTGGTGACTAGCCTCTGGTACGTGGACCATGCATTCTTGAGTCCGAACGGTATCACTTTATAACAATACATTCTTTGGTGAGTGTTGAAAGTCGTCTTTTCTTGATCCTCTTCGGCCATTAGAATTTGATTTTAACCAAAGTAGGCGTCCAAGAAGCTCAACAATTCATGCCCCGCTATCGTGTTGATCAGTTGATCGATATGGGGTAATAGGAAGGAATCATTTGGGCATGCTTTGTTTAGATCGGTGAAGTCCACACACATTCGCCATTTTCCGTTCTTTTTTTTTACCATGACCACGTTGGCGACCCATTGAGGGTATTTTAATTCTCTGATGGATCCGTTGGTGAGTAATTTATCCACCTCTTTGCTGACTGCCTCATTGATTGCAGCATTGAACTTTCTCCTCATTTGATGTACCGGCGGATAGAGTGGGTCGACATTCAGTCTATGAGTGGCGGTGTCCTTTAGAATTCCTGGCATATCTGAGTGGGAGAAGGCAAATAAATCGGCGTTGTTAGTTAAAAATTCACGATACTTACCTGGCTCTGAGAGGTTGTGCCCTATGTAAGCCTTTTTTGTGTTGTCGGTGTCGTCCAATTGGACGGGGTCAAAATCCTCTATAGTCGCCTTACAGGCTTCTACGATATTCGGGTCTTTGATGGCCTCTGTTTGTGGGTCAGGTTTAGTTCCCGACATGGCTAATTGCAATGCCTCCGCACTTGCTCCTTTTAGTTATTTGGTGTGCGCGAAGTCTTGGGCGATCCGATAGCATTCTTGGGCAGTACGTGGCTCGCCTCGGATGCTGAATATTCCCCACGAGGTGGGAAATTTGATCACTTGATAGAAGCTTGAAGGGACGACTCACATAGCGTGTATCCATGGTCGCCCTATGATGGCGTTATAGGCTGTTTCCTGGTTCATGACATGTAATGTTATTTCCAGGGTGACTCCTCCTGCTAGGACATGCAACACTATTTCTCTGGACGTCCGCTCTACTGCATTATTAAACCCGTTAGTGTTATGCAATGCGGTAGTATCTTATCCTCAAGTCTTATTTGCATGAGAACTTGCGGGTGAACAATACACGCACCGCTTTCGTCATCTACCATGATTCTTTTTACATCTGTATCGGCGATGCGTAAAGTTATAACCAAAGCATCATAGTGAGGGAACGACAAACCATCAGCATCTGACTTATCGAAAATGATACTGTCTTCGAGGTCATCATACCATTCGTGGGCGATCGTCCGTTTGAGTTTATGCGTGGTGGTGAATTTCACATGGTTGATTATCATGTCGTCGCCACCGCCAATGATCATCTGGATGGTGCGCGTTGGCGATGGTGACTTTGGAGGTCCTTGAGATGGATCGCGCCCTCTGGCAAAGTTGGACCTTCCTTTATCACTGAGCAGTTCTTTCAGGTACCCCTGATCCAACAACCTAACTACTTCCTGCCGCAGACCTATGCAATCTTCGGTCTTGTATCCCCTTTCTTGATGGAATTCACAGAGGACGTTTGACCTCCTGGTGCTTGGGTCCAATTTCATTTTTTGTGGCCACTCCACCTTCATGCCTAGCTTCTCCAATGCGTACACTATCTTTGAAGGGAAAACACAAAAGTTATGAGCAGATAGTAGTGGAGGCATACCTTTTTCGTTTCGAAGGGGTACATTGTGTTGTAGTACGACATCCACATGTCTTGGAGGGGGCGGGTTAGATGCTCGGATATAGGGCTGATGCCTTTCTCGATTGAAACGTGGGGTTTGATCTCTTCGCCCATCGTTACGTTGATCTCTCCTTGCCTCGGTCTGAACTGACGTTAATTGCTGAATCGGACCGTTCAGATCGTCCTCATCTGCCCTTACCTCGGCGTAATAGGCATTGTGGATCTCTTCCCATGTGGTGAGGGTACTTCATGAGTCTACTGAGTAGTTTTTTGTTTGCCTTTGATTCGTTCCTGTTTAACCCATTTTGAAAAGTTGCTACTGTCATCCCTTTTGACACGTTTGGCAGGCTCATCCTTACTCTGTTGAATCGGGCCAGGAAGTCCCGAAGTCCCTCGCCCGCCGTTTGCCTGACGACGAAGATATCATTGACCCTGGCTTCAACCTTCTTCGCCCTTGCATGAGCGGTGGCGAATTTATCCGCCATCTCTTCAAACGTTGCTATTGAACGTGCTGGTAGCTGAGAGTACCAGGTTAATGCCCCCTATCAAAGTCTCACCGAATGTTTTTAGCAGTACAGATGGTACATGTTCCTTTGACAGATTGTTTCCCTTTTACTGCAGTAACATGATGGATTAGATGATCCTCCGGGTCTGTGGTCCTGTCATATATTTTCAAGTATAGCGGCATCTTGAAGGTTTTTGGAATAGGATGAGGAGCAGCCCCTTCACTGTATGGCTATTCGACGAATCAGCCCACATCGCATTTTGGTAACAGCTTAGGGGCACCTGGTATTTTGTCAACCTTTTCCTGATGCTCCTTCATTTGATCACGGAGTGTTTTGTTCTCATTTTCCATCTCTTCAATTTTCTTCAAGATGGTCATGAGTGCATCATCACCTGCATCAGTGACAATGAGGGTGTTAACCATTCGTGTAGTGCTTGGCTCATTGGTGGCAGTTGCGATTTCTGTAGGTGGCAAGTCTTCGACATTTCCTTGAGGAGGTTTTTCGAGCATGTTTCTCAGAGCACTTGTCAACCATTCTTCTAGCAGCTTTTTGACTACTGGTGGTGCTTCCCCTACCGTGGACATTGAGGCTCCCCATTCGCGTAAGATCGTTAAATCCTCGTGTGGAGAAGGTGAGATCTCCCCCTCCGGTGTAACTCTTTGTGTTGTATTCTCAGTATCTTCTCTATTAGCTTCGTTGAGGGAATTCAGGAAATTATTTGAGACATCTGCTATCATCTTCAGCCTCGCTTCCTTTTTTGCCATTGTTGGTTTTTATAAGGCTTGAAAGACAGTAATCGTTACTTTCAAGAACCTAGATGAGAACTATGATTTCAGCTATGGAAATCCCCATAGACGGCACTAAATTGTTTGATTCAAAAGTTGTTAAGATCTTTTCGAACAAATCAATCAAAGATGAAGGGGTAAATCGTAGCTGAAGATCATAAACTCTAGGATAGAAATAATAGAGTGAAGAGAGTTGTCAATTTTCTTTTCATTCAATTTTGGTGAGTTTTATAGAGCGCTCATGACCCGTTACAAGGCTTCCAGTCCTCTTATATATTGAGGAATCTCCCCTCCTGCCCCATAGAAGTGACATGCAAAAGACCTTTTAGGAATGTTCTCGATATCCCCTAAATGGACTTACTCTACTACCGAGGTCGTATTGTTCCTTCTTTTGATACAAGGTCGTATCCTTCTGGGCGTCGACTCGTAGGTGCTCAGCCGTTTGTCGTGCCCACTATAGGACATGGTTGGTCAAATTTTGACCCATACAGTGCTATGACACCGATGGCTCCAATATATATATTCCAGATTTTCACAAAAGTTCCAGCTATCATGATATTTCTAAGAAGATGCACAAGATGTCACAATGATTGGTGGCAACCCACTCGCCTCTTTGGTGCGGCTTGGTGGGAGAGACACATGAAATATCCTTTCAATCTTGGCAATAAAATCCCTACTCTTGGCAAGCCAACATATACCACATTGCATCATTGCAGGTTGACGAGGATGACAACTGGAGTAGGCCTTTCCAACTTTGGCGAGCAAGCACCTGACACATCTCTGCTGCTTTGACTTTACAGCATTTTATGCTCTCATTGAAAAAATCGTATCTCAACCTAGGAGTGTCCAAACTGCAATCTGCTTGGTTCTACAGAATAAAAACTTGCACCATGGCTTACATATCCAAAATTTAGGGCCAAATTCCATCGGGACAAGTCAGAATAAACTTTCGAAGGCGATGCACAAGTCTGTCATTTTGACTTCACAGCACTGCATGCTGCCATTGGAAAGTACATATCTCAAACTAGGAAAGTCCAAATCATGAGCCGTCTATGTCACTAGAAATAAGACTCAGAGATAAGTAAATTCTCAAAATATTGTGGAAGAATTCCTACCAGATTGTTTGCAACACTAATTTGAAATAGACCCATATGTCTGCCTAACTTGCTATTTAGCTTTGTGTGCTTTTATAGATAAATTTTTTTCCCGATCTACAGGTGTTAGAAACATGATCCATCTATGCCTTTAGAAAGAAAACTACGAGTCCTACAATACATGAAAATATTGATGACGAACTCTACTCAATTGGCCGCAACAATATTTTGAATTTCCCCCTGACATATGCCGCACTTGCTTCTCAGCTTCACGTGCTCTCATCGGAAAATCCATCTCACGAGCTAGGAATGTCCAAATTGTGAGATGTGTGGGCCATAGAAAAGACAAGTTCGAGATTTGCAACACCTGAAAATATCATGGTAGAACACCTTTTAGATTGGCCACAATATTATTTTGAATTCGCTCATAATGTCTACCTTGCTGCTTTTCGGCTTTGTGCACTCTCGTTGAAAAAATTCATATCTCGATCTTCGGGTTTCAGAAGCATGAGCCGTTTGCATCATTAAAAAGAAATATAGAGAGAAGAAACACCTGAAAATATTGTTGCATAATTCCTTTTGGACTGGCCGCAATAATTTCTTGAATTCATCTAGGTGTCTGCCATGCGTTTGTTTCTGCTTTGCGCACTCCTGTCGAAAAATTCATATCTCAAGCTAGGAGAGTCCAAATTGTGATCTGTTTGTGCCTTTAAAAAGTACACTCATAGAGATGAAATACATATGAATTTCTTAGCAGAACTCCTTTCGAGCTGGAAAAAGAAAACTCTCAAAGTCCACCTAGCTGTAGTAACTTTTAGATTCGTGTAGTTCCGTCGAAAAAAATCTTATCTTGAATTAGGGGCCTCCAAATTGCAAATGGTTTTTGTTGTTGGAAACTAGACATCCAAATCTACAATATAAAATGTTTGGAGCAGAACGTCTTCCTGATGGACCGTAGTGGTTACCCAAAGTTGATCATGTCGTCTGTTGAGCTTGCTTTCCGGCTCTATGCTCTCTGAGTTGTCCTACGAATGTTTTTTTCTTCTTGAAATTTACTCTATGGTCTTGCATGTAGTAGCTTTAGCTATTATGCGTCACAAATCTTATCTCTTCATTTATTTATTTTGCTGACTCGCAAAGAAGCTCAAAGGGTCCAGATATTACTTCACCAATTGTTGCACTTGATTTGTTGATAGTCTTGAAGTTCATCAATGGCGTCTCCCATGTTAATTGAAGGTTTTTCAAGAGATAAGACTTCTTATATATGGGACCTTCAACCAACACTTTCACAAGAGAAACAAACTATCATGTGCGAGGCCTAACAACAAGATACGTGGTCAAGAGATCATCATGACTATTGAACGCGAGAGACATACATCGAGAATGGCATTAAATGTGGAGACATCATACAGACTTGAAAAATTATTTGAGATGCGTTAGCAACAAAGCCTAGTTTACGATCATTTTCATTACTTAGGATTTGTATAGGTTAATGTTTAATCTATTTCGTCTCCACATTTTTGGTTGTATCAACTTTTGTAACATTGAAGTAATAAAATATCTTTTACACTTCAATGCAAATTGTCTTCTCTCTCGTATTTATATATGCCTCAGTACTTGAAAGAGTTAATGTGATGATCCCATAAGCCAAACCCTTTTTTTATTAAACTTACGCGACTGAACTTAGAATGAAACTCCAAGCTGCCTACGTACCTCGGTGAAGAGGATCAAGTCATAACTTTGTGTCCTTTTTTTCCTAGGCCGCCTCTCGCGAGGTTTTCAACCTAGCAGACCTTTTTTGGTCTTAACTTTTTCCTAGGCCATGTCTTTCGAGGTTTTCAACCTAGAAGACTCTTTCTTTTTCTTTTTTCTTTTTTTTGTGCCGCACACAGTTTAGACTCATGCGGGTCAGGAGTGTAGCAACATACAGTTTAGGCTCATACATCAAGGAGCACAAAAATGTGCAGTTTAGGCTCATGCATCAAGGAGTGTAGGTGACTTTCATGGGAAGTATTGCTTTAAAAAATTTTCGTTGATCAGACTAACTCTGAGATCATCCTTATCAATAATTTTGTATGCACCACTTGAATAGTCTTCCTTCACAACATATGGCCCATCCTATTTTGAGGTAAACTTGTCGCCTATGCATTTTTTGAGGATTATGGATCGTCGAACAGCTAGGACTAAGTCTCCCACTTAGAATGATCGTGGCCACACTTTCTTGTTGAAGGCTCTAGCTAGTCGATCTTGATAGCACTCTAATTTTTGTTGTGCTTCCAATCTTTTCTCATCCAATGCCTCTAACTCTGCTAGGCAAAATTGAGCATTCTCTTTGGGCATGAGTCCTTCTTGGATTGCGATCTGCAATGAAGGAATTTTTTGCTCCAACGGAAGGGCTACTTCTACGCCTTACACCAAAGAGTAAGGAGTTGCTTGTGTAGCAGTTCTGAAGGTTGTCCGGTATACCACAAAGCTTCACCAATTTTCTCGTGTCACTATCTCTTGTTCTTTGCAACAAATTTCTTCAAAAGGTTACCAAAAGTCTTGTTAAAAGCTTCAGCAAGGCCGTTGGCGGGTCCATTATAAATTGAAGACTTTTGTTGCTTGAAACCGAACTTCTCGCACAGACTCTTCACGAGCTTATTGTCAAATGGCGTTACATTATCATTGATTATGTATCTTGGTATGCAGTACCTAAAAATTATATATGACTTGATAAAATCGACAAT